GCATGAAACACTTCAAGAAAAGTTTTACGGATATGAATAAATTACGCAATCTGATGCGCTAATATGTACACTGACACACACACACACACACACACACACACACACACACACACACACACACACACACACACACACACACACACACACACACACCATTCCTCCATACAAGCCTATATGTACACGCAGACAGGTATACGAAGAGGACAACAGTGAAACAAGTATACAAAAAATATCACAGTTAATATTAAATCGAATACCTTTCATTATGATACATGAAACTCTTTTCCTTGTCATCAAATCATAACATGGAATTCCCTATATTTTACCTGTGCTTACAGTGCCCATGCAATTATTTTTACACTTGTTATATTCATTTAATGACTTGTTTTGTGTAGAACCAGATTGATGCAGAGTAACCCCCTGGACTCGATTTTCCTCTCTTTTTGAGCAAGAAATTGATTTACAGACATATAAAGATGGCAAAAACATGCAAGATTAGACACTTTTTAACCACACACTGCACTACCTATTTACAAGATTTTTCTATGGTTATAATAGTATTTTTCTTTTTCTTTTTTTTAGGTGAAGCTCCGAAAATTTTGTTTCGGATGCTCTTTTCATCGACTGAATTCTTTTGATAAAATTGCGTTATTTAAGCACACGAGTAAGTAAAATTTGGTGACATTTACCCTCCCAAGTTTTGGTAATTAGATAAAGAGCGAACTATATGTGAAATGAATTGTTACTTGTTAGGAAACGTAAACATATCTTCTTATAGGTTTACCTTACATGAACGAAAAGTCAAGCACCGTGTTTGTTTGTGTTTTGTGTGTGTGTGTGATTGTGTGTGTGTGTATTTTGGTGTGCTGTTACTTTTATATCAGTGTTAGAGTTTGAATTCATCACCACATAACGGAAAAAAATCATTTTATTTCATTTCATTTTTTTTCGTCCTCACAATGTCAAGAGGCATCCAGGTTAACTCTCTTGCTTTGTATACATTAAAAAAAAAAATCAAATATCCGTTTTATTCTCTTTCTTTATGGTTTAACATCTTCTTCATTGTAAATTTGTTTGTTTGATGTCCACAACATACATATATACAAGCAACACATTTCAGGAACTTTGTACGAAAATATAACCGTTTGATTGCCTTTCGACCATCTCTTGGGGAAAGTGCAAAGACATACGACCTGAAATTAAGTAAATCACAACTGTCTATATATCTTTTATTTATCAAAAAGACAAACAAACATATAAATGTGCATCTATCAAGGCACGCACATACAGATTTGTTTTATTTATATATACATATTACATTCTAAAAGGCGGGTTTGCCTAATGAACCATAAAACAAAGCGCAATAAATATAAAACATTACCATCATTGTAATTGTAAAATTTTTTTTTTATTTTTTAGGTCAGTACCCCCTCTCGCTTTTATTATATATCACAGTTTCGGTAGGAATTACATATGATTTTTCCACGCAAGGAAAAAAATTACCATATGTAAGATTCCATAAAGGCGATTTTACATAAACCCCCTCTGACTGCTCTAACATTAGAGAGCGAGGGAAGGATGGCAAAGTTTCAGTATGATTTTTCTTCTTTTTCTTTTTTTTGTAGTACCAACTTTGTCACCTGCAATACAGATTATGTGGATTTCATTGTAGATTTTTGTTTCTGTTCTTTTTCGTTTTTTTTCGATTTTCCTGTCCAGATTTTTCCTTTTTTTAATCGAACAGTTCTGGAATTTGTTAATACAAACACCCTACATTTTTTTCTGAACTCTGGACTCCGCCCTTGTTCATTTTATTAAGGAATGTCCGTTTGAAAATCCCCCCCCCCCGACACCCTTTTCCAAATCTATGGATATCGTGTTCTTGAGGTTGCGGTGTTCAAAATGTTCATCCCTCACCCTTTTTTTTTATATATAGTTATGTATCCCTCTTCCTTATTTTTTTAGGATGCTCAGTTCAAAATGTTCACCCTCCACCTTTTTTATTATTAAACCATGTCTCCTCTTCTTTTTTTCTGTTCAAAATGTCTTTTCATGCTCTTCTCAATGTTCACTTCTTTAGCCATGTATTTGAGTGTGTGTGTATGTATATATATATATATATATATATATATATATATATATATATATATATATATATATATTGATAACGTAGGTCAACTATCCAAACACTTTTCACTCTTTCGTACATTTTTTTTTCTCGAACTCCTAACCTTCCTTTCATCTATTTTCTTTTCTTTTTCCTTTCCCCATCATCTTCCTTCTTTTCTCTATCTCCTTCCTTCCACCTCATCCTTCTTTTCTATCTCCTTACCACTCACTTTCTCACCATCTTCCTTCTTTCCTCTGTCTCCCTTCCTTCCTTCCTTCCTTCCTTCCTTCTCCTCCTCCCTCCTCCTCCCTCCCTCCTCCCTCCCTCCCTCCCTCCCCTCCCTCCTCCCTCCCTCCTCCTCCTCCCTCCCCCTTCACCCCCCCCCCCCCATCACTCCAAGCCGAAGCCCTCCGCATTGTCCAGGGCGATGAAGAGCTTGTTCCTCAGCGTCGCCTTGTCGTTGTACGGGGGGAGGACGAGCTGGTTGAAGCACGTGTGGGCCTGCGGGAGCATGTGCGTGTGCCCTCGCCAGCAGGAGACCTTGAAGGACATCTCCCCCATGCCTCCGACGGGGATCCTGTCGCTGCCGGTCGTGAAGAGCAGGAACCGCTTCTGCTGGGCGATCGTCATCTCGTTGATGACCTCCCAGAACCACCTGGGGGAGGGGGGAGAGGTGAAATGAGGGAGAGGGAGAGGGAGGGAGAGGAGGAGAGGAGACAGAGAGAGAGGTTGGAAGAGGAGAGAGAGAGTGAATGAAGGAGAGGGAGAGAGAGAGAGGGGGGGGAGAGGGAGAGAGAGGTGAATGAGGAGAGAGGGAGAGAGAGAGGTGAAGAGGAGAGGGAAGAGAGAGAAGAGGAGAGGAGAGAGAGAGAGAGAGAGAGAGAGAGAGAGAGAGAGAGAGAGAGAGAGAGAGAGGGAGAGAGAGAGAGAGAAGGAGAGAGAGAGAGGAGAGAGTGTACTTAGAAAAGAAAAAATTATAATAAAAGAGATAAATTATGTTCAGAAAAGAGATTAAATTAAGAGAGATTAAAAAAAGAAAAACAAGTTTAACCAAAAAAGAAAAAAATTGTATAATCCCAAACGAAAATATGTGTAATCAAAGAAGAAAAAAGTATAATAAAAATAGAAAACAATATAATCAAAAAAAAAAATGCATAATCAGAAAAAGGAAAAAAATACAATTGCAAAATAAAAGATATAATCAAAAAAGAAAAAAAAAAGTATAATAAAAAGTATGAAGTATATAAAAAGAAAACATGTATAATTAAACGTAAAAAAAAAAAAAAACTATAAAATAAAATGTATAATTACATGTAAAAACGTATAATAAAAAATATATAATCAAAATTAAGGATGTTTACACGCCCACGCACCTTATCGTAGGGTATTCAGGACTGTAACCATCGTATTCTGTAACTTTTCTAAGCTCGTTCAGGTCAATGGTTTGCGTGCCACAAACCAGCATCTCGACCTCCTCTGGGCGAAGCATCTGGAAGCAGAAGAAAATAGAAAATAAGAGATATCTAACCTTTTCTCCTTTTTTTCAAATTCGTTTTATGATTACAATTGTGATTATCAATTTTCTTTTGTTTTGTCGAATCTTGTTTCATTATCTTGTTTATTGTTATTTTCTGTTTTTTTTTTTTTTTTAGTTTTTTTTTCTTGTAATTATTAGGAATATGTCTATAAAGGGATGAAACATCGATTGGTTTATGAATATGCTTGTATCTTAGGGTAAGAAAAAAATAGGTTCGTATCCTGCATTATTTTTCTTCATAATTCCTTCCAGAAACAGAACGAAAATGCGCGCGCTTCTAACAATACATTTCCCTGACTGCACTTCATCAAGAACATACACCCACAAACACACACAACATACGTACATCCACATACATTCATAAACTCCATAAACTCACGATCAAGGCATTCGAAGCGCAGACCGTATGGAATCCCAAGTAAAAGGCTCTGAACTGCTCGTAGATGGCCGTGTTGAGGATCCAATCCAGATAGAGAGTCACGAATTCTTGTCGGTTTTCATTAGTTACCGGTAGCGTCTCTCCGTTTTCTTTGAGGTTGAAAGTCTTCGGTTGGCCGTATTCCTCGAGGGAAACCTGGCGGGAAAAGGGAATTTATTTTTGGTTCAGAAAAGAAGAAAAAAGAGGAAAAGAGGGATAGGGAGAGACAGAGAGGAGAAGGAGAGGGAGAGGGAGAAGGAGAGGGAGAAGGAGGAGGGAGAGAAGGAGAAGGAGAGGGAGAGGAGAGAGGGAGAGAGGGAGAGAGAGAGAGAGAGAGAAGAGAGAGAGAGAGAGAGAGAGAGAGAGAGAGAGAGAGAGAGAGAGAGAGAGAGAGAGAGAGAGAGAGAGAGAGAGAGAGAGAGAGAGAGAGAGAGAGAAGAGAGAGAGAAAGAGAGAGAGAGAGAGAGAGTGAGAGAGAGAGAGGGGGAGGAAAGCGAGATAGACAGATAGAGAGAAATATAAAATCATATATAAATGCATATATGGATAGACAAATAGAACTAAATAGATAGATAGATAAAGCTAGATAGAAAGACGAAGAGAAAAAATAATGAATGAGATATCTCTTCTCATTTAATCTATGTAAAAAGTTTTTTGACATACCGAAAAAAGTCAGTAAGACCGAACAACAACAACAAAACGCAAGACCTAAAAAATACAAAGTATGACCGAATTCAACATAAAATGAACCAGAATAAACTCAAATAAGACCGAATTATAGAAAATAGAACCAAGAAAAAAAGCAAGACCCGAAAAAATACAATAAGACCGAAAAAAAAACAAAGAAGGATCGAATATCACATATTGGAACCTCCCTCACTCTCCCCCCCCCCCCTTCAAAAAAAGAAATAAAAGGAACCAAAACACCATAAAGAACTCGAAAAAAATAACAAAAACGAAAGAGGACCGAATGAAAGATAACAAAAAAAATGAAAAAAGAAAAACATAGTATAGCCGAAAATTACATAATAGAACCCCCTTAACCCCAAAACTCACCGAAAAAAAATAAAAAGAAACCCGAAAAAAACTGTAGGATCGAAAAAGATAAGAAATTTCAAAATCACGAAGAAAGGAAGACCAAAAAAGATTTACCTGAAAGCTGAGGCACATGTCATCCTCGACGTCGCCCTCGTACCGCAGGAGCTCTCGGAGGCCGTGGGCGACTTCCTGAAGGAGGGGAAAGGAAGAGAAATTATTGTAGTTTTACGTATTTTGTTGCGTCGAACGAATGGTGAACAAAGGTAAGGAAAGCAAAAGTAACTGTTCCAGCCTGACGTATTTTGTTGAAGAAATGATGAACACAAATAAGGGAAGTGAAAAGATATTATTGTATTTTGGCGTCCTTTTGTGATGTCTTTTTGGTATATTAGGTATTCAGTGTGATCTTTCAGGGTTATGAAATTGAGAACAAAATTGTGAACAAAGACAACGGAAACGATTTCAGGGGAATGTAATAAAGAACAAATGATGAACAAGACAGCAAAATTGTCCTCCCATATATATATATATATATATATATATATATATATATATAATATATATATCCTCCCATTTTCATTCAATTTTTCATTTTCATTCAATTTTCCTCCCATTTTCATTAAATTGTCAATTTTCATTAAATTGTCAATTTTCATTCAATTATCAATTTTCATTCAATTGTCAATTTTCATTAAATTGTCCATTTTCATTCAATTTTCCTCCCACTTAAATTAAATATCCCTCCCACTCTCCTCAAACTTTCCTCCCGTTTTCCTTAAATTTTCCTCAATTTCCCGTTCACTTACCGGCATAATTTCGCTCAGATCGTCCAAACTGGGCTCCTTCGCTATACCCACGGCCATGTGTTCATAGGCGGGGACCACAGGGGGGCTCAGCAACTTCCTGCAATGGTGTGAACAAATGGTGAACAAGTGAAGAAGGGAGAGGGTGAAGGAGAGAGGGAGAAAGGGAGGGTGAAGGGAGAGAGAGATGGAGAAGGGGAGGGTGAAGGTAGAGGGAGAGAGGATGGAGAAGGGGGAGGGAGAGGAGGGAGAGTGAAGGAGAGGAGGAGAGGGGAAGGAGAGGGAGAGGGTGAGGAGAGAGAAGGTAGAGGGAAAGGGAGATGGTGAAGGAAGAAGGAGAAAGGAGGGTGAAGGGAGAGGGGAGAGATGGAGGGGGGTGAAGGAAGGATGGGAGGATGGAGGATGGAGGGAGAGGGTGAAGGATTGAGAAGGGAGAGGGGTGGGTGGAAAGAATAGAAGGAGGGAGGAGGGGGAGAGAAAGAGGGAGGGAGAAGGGGAGAAAAAGGAGGGAAAAATGGAGGGAGGGAGAGAGGAGAAGGTGGAGGGTGGGAGGGTGAACAGATGGTGAACAAAAAGAGAGAGAGAGAGAGAGCGAATGAAAACAGTAGTAGTGGTCATTATATATCAGTGATAAAGATGATGATGATGGTAATAATAATGATAGTGATAATAATGTGTTGTGTGACCTCAAAAAAAAGAAAAACACGCACCCCCAATCCACACCCTTATAACCCCACCTCTTGTAACCCCATTTACCTGAAGCAAATGGAGGGGAAGCGAATGTCGAGGATAATGGAGTTGTACACCGCCAGCCCCATTAACACTCCGATGAGGTTGTACTCTCTGAGGCTTCCTTGTTGTCCCATCGAGAACCAGTAGAGCCTCTTGGACGGGTGGTACACGAACATCTTGTTCTCGGGCTGTTGGGGGAGAGAGGGGGAGGGTGAAAAGAGGGTGGGAGTGGAGTGGGAATTGGGGTGTGGTGGGGTGGGTGGGGTGGGATGGTGGTGGGTGGTGGTGGTGGTGGGGTGGGTGGTGGGGTGGGGTGGGGGTGGGGTGGTGGTGTGGGGTGGGTGGGGTGTGGGGTGGGGTGGGGGTGGGGGTGGTGGTAGTGGTGATGGAGGAGGAGGTGGAGGTGGTGGTGTAGAGGTGGTGGTGGTGGTGGTGATGGAGGAGGAGGTGGAGGTGGTGGTGGTGGTGGGGTGGTGGTGGTGGTGGGGTGGATTGGGGGTGGTGGTGGATGAGATGGGAGGAGGAGTGGAGGAGGAGGAGGTGGAAGTGGTAGTGGTGGAGGTTGTGTTGTTGATGTTGTTGTTGAGAGAGAGAGCAAAAGAAGAGAGGGGGGGAGATAGAGTGGGTATGTATATGTGCGTGTGTGTGTGTGTATGTATGTTTATGCATGTGTATTCGTATTTCTATTTGTACATGCATAATATATATATATCTCCATACATATACGTACATGAACATACCCACATACGCATACAACACACACCCATACACCCCTCTCTACAAACCACACCACCATACCCCACTCTCCCCCCCCTCCCCCTCCTCCCCTCCCCCAAACAACCCCCAAAGTTACCTTAAATATCTGTTTGATGAGGAGGAGGAACCACTCCTTGGTGAGGCCGCCCATGTCGAGGCCAGGCTCGCCCTCGAAGGTCACCTTGAGTTTCTTCTTCAAGTCCCTCTTCTTGGTCGCGATCTGGAGGTTTGGGAAAGGGGGGGGGGTTATTAGTGTTAATATTTTTGTTGTTTGTTTTGTTGTTGTTATCATCATTATCATTACTATTACTATTATCATTTTCATTATCATCAATATTATTATCATTATCAATTGTTATGTATCATTATTATTATTATTATTATTATTCATTATCATTATCATTATTATTATTATTATCATTATCATCATTATTATAATGATAGTAATAATGATAATAATAATAATAATTATTATTATTATTACTGTTACTATTGTTTTTATTATATTGCTATTACTATTATCATTACCAAAATCATCATTATTATTACCATTATTGATGTTGCTCCTTATATTATAATGATAATGATAACCATAATCATTACTATCATTATCCTCGTTGTATTATGGTTTTTATCATTATCGTCACTACTATCATTACCATTACCATCATTATCATTATCATTACTACTATTATCATCATTATCATCATTATTGTTGTTTTTGTCATAATAATAATAATGATAGTAGTAATAACAACAACAACAATTATAATGATACTGATAATAGTAATAATGGTAATAATAATAATAATGATAATGATAATAATAATAACAACAGAAACTACAAAACGACAAACAACAACAACAATAATAATTATAACAATAATAATTATAATAATATTTTCCCACCTCCTTCCTTCCTTCCTTCCTCCTCCTCCTTCCTCCTCCTCCTCCTCCTCCTCCTCCCTCCTCCTCTCCTCCTCCTCCTCCCTCCTCCTCCTCTCTCCCCCTCCTCCTCCTCCTCCTCCGCCTCCTCCGCCTCCTCCCCTCCTCCTCCTCCTCCTCCTCCTCCTCCTCCTCCTCCTCCTCCTCCTCCTCCTCCTCCTCACCTCCTTCAGAGAATCCTCCACCAGGCAGTTCCTCCTAACGTTGATGTTGAGGAAGAAGATGTCAATTTGAGGAGGCTGATGTCGTGCCACCTTCGCCACCAGTGATCTCCTTGCTGTCAGGATCATCTGCTGCTCCGCGTCCTGGGATGAGGGAAGGTTGGTTGGCTTGGCAGGTTGTTGTCAGTGTTGGTAGGTTGGGAGGGTGTTGTCAGGGTGATCAGTTGTTGGGAGGTTGTCAGTGTGATAAGAAGGGTTGGTTGGCTTGACAGGGTGTTGTCAGTGTTGGTAGGTTGGGAGGGTGTTGTCAGGGTGATCAGTTGTTCGGATGTTGTCAGTGTGATAAGAAGGGTTGGTTGGCTTGGCAGGGTGTTGTCAGGTTGATAAGTTGTTGGGAGCTTTGGGTTGGTAGGTTACAAGGGTGTTGTCAGGTTGTTGTCAGGGTGTTGTAAGTTCGTTATAAGGTTGTCAGTCGGGAGGTTAGGTTGGCAGGTTGGTTGGATGTTATCATGTTATTAGGTTGCTGCCAGGTTATTGGGTTGTTGTGTTTAGGTTGCTGCCAGTTATTGGGTTGTTGTTAAGTTGTTATCAGGTTGTTATTCGGTTCAGCTTATTGGGTTGTTGTCAGGTTGTTTTTTTAGATTTTTAAGGTCGTCAAGTAGTTAGGTGTTCTGTTTCTCTATCTATTCATCAATCTGTTTACTTATCTGTCTTTCAAATCTATGTTTATCTATTTGTCTGTATGTTTTTATCTATTAGTTATTAATCAATCAATCTATTTTGCCACCCTACTTAAAATATCCTTTCTTAGCCACGATAGATAATACTGAATAACACATTATGTCACCTGAATTCGATAGATAAAAAAACGCGCGCACACATAAATACACACACCACACACACACACACACACACACACACATACACACACATACACACACATACACAACACACACAAAATATAGAGATATAGATTGATAGATAAAGGGATACACTTACATACATACATAAAGACAGACAGACACATATAACCAAACGACTGACAAAACCCCCTTCACAAACCTTCGTCAGTATATGCCTCTTGGCGACGATGGACAGTATGAAAGGATACTGACAATACGAGAAGGAATCGGGTTTCTCCGGCAGTTGCCACGTCCTGTATTCCGTCATGAGGTCCAGGTGGTCGAGGGCGTGGTTGTAGAACTCAGTGTAGTGCAGGAGAGGCGGCTGGGAGGACGTGTTGCTCGCGTCTGGAATGGAGATGGGGAAGGGGAAGGAGAGGAAGGGGGAGGGAGAGGGAAGGGGAGGGAAGGGGTAGGGGAGAGGGGAGGGAGGGGAAGGGAGGAGAGGGAGAGGGAGAGGAGAGGGAAGGGTAGGGTATGGAGAAGGGGAGGGAAGGGGAAGGGGAGAGAGGGAGAGGAAGGGAGGATGAGAAGAGAGAGGGAAATTGAAGGGAAAGGGAAAGGGAGAGGGAGGGAGAGAGAAAAAGGTATTTGGGTTAGTAGGTGTGTTAAATGTTGGGGGTGAAGTCTGAGAGATGAAATTATGGAGATGGTGCGTTGTTGGTGTTTAGGAGATTAACTTGTTGGGGTTGATGGAATGTTGTTATAGATTCAAAATATGAATGAGGATGAATAGCTGTAGCAAATGTATGCATTTCTGATGAAATTTAATCAAATAAATTATTCTCTTTTTTTCATCCTTTTCTAGATTTGTTAAAATAAAATATTGCGTAATGAGAAGTGGAAGGTAAACCAGGGAGGGAAAAACACACACAGCAAAAAACAAAAATAAACAGAAATCAAATACATACATACACGCCACACACAAGACACAAACACCAAAATAACATAACCAAAACTATAGAAAACTGGCCCCACAACCGTTAGGTCGGAGGTCACCGCATCTTCATATTTTAGGAAAGGAAGAATTGCTACTCAAGGATACTTCACGCGGAAGAAAAAAACATGAAAATAAACGCATAGATATAGATAGATACAGAGAGAGAGAGAGAGAGAGAGAGAGAGAGAGAGAGAGAGAGAGAGAGAGAGAGAGAGAGAGAGAGAGAGAGAGAGAGAGAAGAGAAAAGAAAGAGAGAAATTGATAGATGCATAGCTATAAACAATAATGACCACACGTTAAAAAACAAACAAATAGAACTTACAATACATAACTACAAACTAAAAACAACACAAAACCATAAAAAAACCCCCTACAACCCACCCACCCTACACACACACCCACAGAAAACAAAACAAAACACACTCAAAAAACAAAACAAAAGAACACGCCCATCCAAAACACCAAAACACCAAAACAAAACACAACACCAAACAACACCCAAAATAACACAAAACAACACAAACACACCAAACAACACCAAAACAACACCAAAGCAAAATCCCACTCACAGATGATCGCCAGGACCTTCGTCGCGGTCGGGATCCACCACTTGCTCTTGCTGAGGGGCGGCAGCGAGCGGTCGGGCGGAGGGAACTGCCTGACGGTGATGAACTGGATGACGAAGCCCACGATCATCCTGAGCCGCGGAACCTCCAGGCTGGAAGGAGGAGGGAGGGAGGGGTGAGTGAGGGGGAGGAGGGGTGTTGAGGAGGGGGGTGTTGAGGAGGGGGGTGGGAGGAGGAGGGAGAGGGGAGAGGGAGAGTAGGGAGGGTGGGTGGGAGGGGAACCTCCAGGCTGGAAGAATGAGGGAAGGGGGTGAGTGAGGGGGGAGGGGTGTTGAGGAGGAGGGAAGAGTAGGGAGGGGAGGGGAGGGGATAGTAAGAAGGGAGAGGAGAGTAGGGAGGGTCGGGGAACCTCCAGGCTGGAAGAAGGAGGGATGGAGGGGTGAGTGAATGGGGGGAGGGGTGTTGAGAAAGTGGGGTGGGAGAAGGGAGGGAGAGGGAGAGTAAAGTGGGTGGTTTGGGGTGGAAGGGAAGGGGTAGATGGAGGGAGGAATGAGGGAGAGAGAGTGTAGATAGACACGCTGATGGAAACAGACATAAACAGACTAACAGAGAAGAGACAGACAGACAGACAGAGATAGAGAGAGAGAGAGAGAGAGAGAGGAGAGGAGAGGAGAGAGGAGAGGAGAGGAGAGGAGAGGAGAGGAGAGGAGAGGAGAGGAGAGGAGAGGGAGAGGAGAGGAGAGGAGAGGAGGAGAGAAAGAAAGAAAGAAAAGAAAGAAAAGAGAAGTAGAAACCCAAGAAGAATAAAAAAGAAATAACAAAACACCAAAGAAAGAAAGAAAGAAAGAAAAAGAAGTAGAAATCCAAGAAGAAGAATAAAAAAGAGAAACAAAACACCAAAGAAAGAAAGAAGAGAAAAAGAAGTAGAACCCAAGAAGAAAAAAAAAGAAAATACAAAAAACACCACCACCACCAACCTCCCCCCCCCACCCACCAAAACCCCCCCCCTCAAAAAAAAAAAAAAAAAAAAAAAAAATCGCACAGAAAAACTCACGTCCTGAACCAGTTGACGAGGAGCTGGTGGTCGCCGTTCGAGAGCGACGTGATGTTCCTGAGGACGTGAGCGAGCACCGTGTAGGAGGACTGCGTCAGGAACACGGGCGTCTGCAGGAGGATGAAGAGCGCCCTCACCCTGTCCTTGCTGAAGAGGTGAGGTCGCTCCTGCAGAAGGGCGTTGATGACCGCCTTCAGGAAGTGCTTGTGGACGACTGAAGGCTGGAGTAAAGGAGAGCAGAGAAGGTGTGGGAAGATGAGGCTGTTTTCAGTTTTTATTTATATATCAGTTCATTTAATTTTATACTTTTTTAGGGAATGGTTGGATTTTTATTGATTTTTGTTAATTAGGGTAGTGTGTATGGTGTGGATTTTTATGCATGTAATCTTTGTGTATTTATCTGTGTGTGTGTGTGTGTGTGTGTGTGTGTGTCTGTGGATCTTTGTATGTATGTATGTTTGTGTGCGTGTGTGTATCTTTGTGTATGTGTGTGTATCTTTGTATGTATGTATGTATGTGTGTGTGTGTTGTGTATGTATGTATGTATGTATGTGTGTGTGTGTGTGTGTGTGTGTGTGTGTGTGTGTGTGTGTGTGTGTGTGTGTGTGTGTGTGTGTGTGTGTGTGTGTGTGTCCATGTGCATGCCAAGCTTACCATCTCATGCACAGAATCGTGAACAGTGTAGACCAGTTCCATCTTGAGTCCCGGGTCGTCAGCGCGCGCCCCGTCGAAGTCCGGGTCGCGCTGTTGGGAGAGAGGCGACTTGGTTTATTTTCAGAAACGACCTGGTTTAATTAAGAAATTATCGGTCTAATCTTGGTTTAAGAAAGAATTATCGGAGAAAGAAAGAAATTATCGATCTAATAAAGAACTTGGTTTAATAAAGAAACAATTGGTTTACTTCAGAACGACCTGGTTTAAGAAAGAAATTATCAGTCTGATAAAGAACTTGGTTTAATAAAGAAATTAGTAATCTAGTAAGAACTTGGTTTAATAAAGAAATTATTAATCCAGTAAAGAACTTGGTTTAATGAAGAAATTATCAATTCAGTGAAGAACTTGGTTTAATAAAAAAAATATTTGATTTAATAAAGAACGACCTGGTTTAATAAAGAAATTATCAATCTAATAAAGAACTTGGTTTAATAAAGTAATAATTGATTCAATGAAGAACGGTTTGGTTTAATAAAGAAAGAATTAATCTAATATAGAACGACTTTTTTACAGAACAACCTAGTTTGATAAAGAAATAATAGATTTAATACAGAATGACGGTTTATTACAGACCGACCTAGTTTGATAAAAAAAGAATAATAATTTTAATAAGGAACAACATGATTTATCACAGAAAGACCTAGTTTAATAAAGAAATATCAAAATTAATAAACAATGATTTAGTTTATTACAGGATGACTTCCCTTAATGAATAAGTACTAATAGGTTTAATAAAAGCGACTTGGTCCATTGCAGAACGACCTGGGTTGATAAAGAAATAATAAATGGAATAATGAACGATCTAGTTTATTACAGAACGACCTAATTTATTACAGAACGACCTGGCTTATAATAGAACGACCTAGTTTATTACAGAACGACCTAGTTTATTGCAGAACGTGTTAGATTATTACACAACGACTTGACTTATCACAGTCTCTTTTCATAACACAACACAATCTAACATTCACACCTTAACATTCACACCCACACATTCTACCCTGTGGTTCTCGTCATTCGTTCCCTCAATTCCCGAAGCAAATCTAATCAACTCTATCATTATTCTTACTTGTTATTTAGGTTGCTGACCCTCGGATAACCGGTTGAAATGGCGATTCAAATATATGTTGCTATGAGACCGATAGATCGATCTGGGAAGGAGGTGAACAGAACGTGTGAATAGTGTATGATTGAGCTAGCTTTGTGCAGGGTTTTTTGAAAGGTCAAAGGTCAGTAAACAAGGGCTAGTTTGTATTTTGTATCGAAGTTTTTTTTTTTATATAGAATGGAGGTTTCGTTGTGTTTTTGTTGTTGGTGTCGTAGTGGGTGTGGATGTCAATATTATTTTTATTATTATTGTGATCGTTTTCATGTTTGTTTGTTTTTTGTCATTATCGTCATTTTTCTCCTATTCCTCCTCCTCGTGATTATCATTTTCACTATCTTCATCGTCACTAACTACCTCAACATCGACATCACTATGTTCACCATTTTCCTTCCAAACTTCTTCACTAACGTCACGCTCCAACATCATTATCACTATTTTCATCACCACCTCTTCCGCCTCATCACCATCCTTCTCATCCTTATCATCTCTACCTCACTATCTTCACCATCATCATCCTCATCCCCATCATTATCAACCTCCAACTCATCATCACTATCGTCATCACCATCAAGCTCCTCACCGTCCCCCTCATCATCATCATCACCATCATCACCCTCCACCTCCTCACCCTCACCATCAATCTATTCACCATCATCACCATCACCTTCATCCTCAACAACCTCCACCATCACCATTAGTTTCACTCTACCATCACCATTTTCCCCCTCACCATCCTCATCCTCCTTTTACCTCTCGCCATCCTCATGTCCACCCCCTCATCCCCATCCTCACCCCCATTCTCACACTCCTCATCTCATCCTCATTCCTCCTCTCATCTTCATTTTCACTCACCCCCATCCTCATCCTCATTTCCACTCTCGCCATCACTCATCCTCACTATTATCCATGCTTCATTTTCACGCCTCACCCATCCTTCATCCTCCATTTCCACTACTATACCATCCTCATTTCCACCTCACCCCCATCCTCATCCTCACTACTATACCATCCTCATTTCCACCTCACCCCCATCCTCATCCTCACCTACCCCGCATCTCTTTCCATCTCACCACCCATCCTCATCTCACTACTATAACCATCCTCATTTTCACCCCATCCTCCATCCTCACTATACATCCTCATTTCCCTCACCCCACAATCCTCACCCATCCGTCATCTCACTTCCACCCCTCACCCCTCATTCCTTCCATCCTCC